CGCCCACGCTCTCGGGAGAACCTGCGTTGCTGTCTCGATTGGAACCCATGCGCCCCAAAGAATGTCTGTCAATAGTTCCCCAAACAGTGCTTGCACTTGGTGGGTCGTATTTGTGCTCCTATGGGCCCGCCAGACTGTCGACACGTTGCCGCCGGGGCGGCCCGTGCGCCGGGTGGGGCCGCCGAGGTTTCGCCAAGTTGCCGCACGTGGGCATTTCGTGGGCGGCCCGTGCGCCGGGTGGGTCCGCCGAGGGTTTGCCACGTGGCCGCCCCGGTGCCTCGTCGTGGGCGCCGGGCGGGCCGCCCGTGCGCTGGGTGGGTCCGCCGAGGTTCTGCCACGCTGCGGCCTCGCGTGCGCGCGTGGGCGCCCCGTGCGCGGAGCTCGCACCACGTGGTCTTCACGGCAGCCCACAGCACATGGCTGTCACCTTCGGTTGTTCTTTGCTTTGTTTCGAAAAAAGGTCGCATAGCCTTCGCCTCCAGCTCACACCACGTGCAATACACGGAATGTGTTGCACCACATTACTTCCCTCTCATAGTGATCGTCCACATAGCTCGCACCACATAGCCTATACGACGTATCTTACACCACGTAGCTTGCACCGCGTAGCTTTCATCTTCACCGTGCAATGACTCACTGTTTGCCGTCCACGCTCGCTGACACTGTTTTATGTGCAGATCTGGGGATCGCAAGTTGGAAATTCAGATAATGAAGACAGGGGAAGGGAAGGATTGGACAGATGAGCAGGGTAGAAGGTAGGCCCACATAGCTGCTGCGAAAGAGCGCGCTCGTGGCACACTTCTCATTGAAAGGAGGGCCCCAGCTTCAAGCTACCCCCCCCCTCCCTTGGAAAAGGGGGGGCTTCCGAAGCTACCCCCCTTGTTGTGGGCACGTTTTAAATGTGGAGCCCTAGCTACGAGGGGGGGCTCAGAAGCTAACCCCCTTCCCCTCCTTGTCGGGGCCTGGGGTCGGCCCGGGCCCCTTTCAAAAGGGGGGGGGCGTCCGAAGCTCCCCCCCCCTTTTGTTTGGATTTTGTAGCTGGGGGGTCCCTGGCTAAATGGGGAGGCTCAGGAGCTACCCCCCCCCCTCCTTTTCGGGGCTCGGGGTAAGCCCCGGCTCCCCCTTCCAAAGGGGAAGGGGGGGGGGCTTCCGAAGCCCCCCCCCGCCCCTCCTTTAGCTGGTTTTTCCAGCTGGAAGGCCCTGGCTGAAGGGGTGTGCGAAGCTACTTTTCTTTTTTCGTTTTCGGCGCCCCGTTGGTTTTCGGCGCTCTTTGGTTTTCGGCGCCCCTTTGGTTTTCGGCGCTCCTTCGGCTGTCTGCGCGCCTTTCGTTTTTGGCGCCCTTTGGTTTTCGATTCCCTTTCGGTTATCGGCGCGTCTTTGGTTTTTCGGCGCCCTTTTGGCTTTCGGTGCATCGTTATTTTCGGCGCCCCTTTGGTTTTCGGTGCCAACTTGGTTTTCGGCGCCCCTTTCGTTTGCGGCGTTCCTGTGGTTTTTTGTGCCCATGTGGTTTGGGGCGCCATTTTTTCGGCGCCCTGTCCGTCTTCGGAGCTTATGCTCTTTTCGGCGCCCATTTTGCCTTCGGCGCCTTTTGGTTATCGGCGCCACGTTGGTTTTTCGGCGCCCTTCTGGTCTTCGGCGCCCTTCTCGCTTTCGGTG